GATTTTTTTCAGCTTCAACTTAAACGTGCATATGAGCAATTAATGATTTGTTCCACATCACCCCTAGCTTTGTTCTAACTGATGATATTGCTCTTCTTTATTGTCTCTTTCCACAGATGTAGTTGATTTAATTCTTGTGTATTCCATCGAGCAAGGGTGATTGTGTATAGTCATTGATTTATTGAAAAAAGATTTTGAAAAAGACATTCATTTAAAAATTAATGTTATTGGGTTTTCAAATTCTCTCATGTTTAAAAAGTAGTAAAATGAAATTCTATTTAGACTGTTATATCATGTGTTCTTGGTTTCTATCACCGGATACTGGCCTTTCATCTGTGATTCAGACTTCTGCATTCTAATCGTTAGTGATTGCAACTATTTCTTGATTGCATGCTACATCAGTTTCAAACTGGAAATGTTGGTGAAAATGTTCAAGTTCTTCATCTTTGGCATTCATTGTTGGTTTATAAATTTGAATAATAGTTGACTGGCTTGTCTTTCTTGAAGGTATATAGGTATTGCCTTATCACTGACAGTATTGCACTTCAGGACAAAGATTGAAATGTTCTTTTTGACAATTGATATCATTCCTTTTCAATTTGTCATTCCAATGTAGTTGAGCATATGAATGTCTAATTCAAAATGATCAATACTAATCCATTTGAGACGTGATACCAACCTTTACTTTTGTTGACTTCCAATTTTCCTAGATTTCTATTTCTTACATTCCATGTTCAGTTATTAGAAGATGTTTATAGCTTCTTCTCATTTGAGCCATGCCCCCTCAGAAAATGAAGGTCCTGTAAATTTTACTCCATCTGTGTCATTAAGGCCAATGCTATTAGAGAAGAGAGCCAATTATATTTTTGCCAATTGTATTTTGAGTGCTTTCAAACCTGACGGGCTAATCTCCCGGTACTATATCAGACAATATTGTGTTGCTTTTAATAAGATTTCATGGGCCAGTTTTATAAGAAATAAGATTCCATGAGCCATGTCCATCTCCCTAGTCTGTCATAGTCTGGAAGTTCCACTGAAACTTGTTCACCATGGTGAGCCTGCTGGCATTTGTAACACCAGTGGCATACCTTCTAACATTACGGCAACACATAAACCACCATAGTACAGTAAACTGGTAAATGAGTGTTGGTCTCCTTTTCAAATATTTAGGATTACTCTGTTACATATCAATGCATCCTGTAGGTAGCTGTGTATAGGAAGGGTTTGGGGATGGAAGGAAAAGTGTGTGTAAGTTCATAATGAAGAATGGACCCTGGGTTTCTGGTCATTGGTAAAGGGCTGAAATGCAGAATATTGGCCAAACTTTAATTGATATAAAAGGGAACTCTGTCCCTCCTTTAATACTTTCTCTTCTTGATCCCAGGTTCTCCATTATTTTTGTATTCCTTGGTGCTGTGGTCATCACATCGGTGTTGTTGCTTTTCCCTCGAGCCACTGAATTTCCAATCCCAGATGTGGAAGTTAAGGTAAAACTGTGGGTTTAATTTTGCCTACTGCTTTGTTGCTGCCTTGCCCAACAGTAGTTTCTGATAGGAGATTGACTGAAATGTGCTAGAACCATAAAATTAAAACAATGGCCGAGAAAACCCCAAACCAAATCCAAACCCACTGTTATCA